TATAAAATGGAGAGAAATTAAAATCCGTACAAGTTTTAGGTATTGTCCGATCTTACTAATTTTACAATCTCGAATCACAATCTTATCACGATTTAATCTTGTTCCTATCTAAAAGAGAATTTGAAACGAATGGGACTACCCAGATAATGGAGATTCAAGATCCTATAAATTCGCAAAAAGGATGACATGTTACAATGTCTTAGACTTTGTATGTCCAACACCCTTTCACCAAGGCTTGAAAAAATTCGATTGGCTATGTGCATACTTATGCATTTAATTTGCTCAGTTGATGTTTCCAAACACCACGATGGCAATTGACTTGTTTAACAGGAACATCTAGGAGTAGGAATGAAGATGTGTCAATATATTCGATATGTCGACCCTCATTTCTTTCACTTTCTTCTTCTTCTTCTCGTCCTTTGCTTTTTGTCCCAATTGATAGGGGAAGATTATTTTTTCTAATGATGTACGGTACAATATGATACCATAGGATATCCAGCTTCACAAGTATTTCGATACAAAATATATGAGAGGGAACTTGTTCTCAATTTCACTAGGACAGAGTGCTCCTCATCTGATTTCAATGATCGGAGGTCATGTTGCTCATTCAATAATAATTATAAATAAATAAAATATAGAAAAACTTCCAGCTGTAGTTTGAAAAATCATGTGGCGATTGTGCTTCTAAGAAAAGGGTCCACTGCTGAGTGGTTGAAATGGTAGGGAGGATTGCTTATGGAGAAGATTTAAAAGGGGCATGGACACATTTCAATTGATGCATTGTCTCCTAATTGTTGATGTTTGGAGGGACTGATTTCTTGCTCTAGTCACTGTCTTTGCCGCTGCTCTCAGTCATCAACCTTTCCCCTTTTTGTCTTATTTCTTAATTTCCTTTCTTTAAATTTGAGATTCCTAGTTCTCAAAATAGTAGGACCACCAAAATTTCACACTCAAAAGATTTTTTTTTATGCACAGATTGACAAGCAGGCCCAAAAGAGAAGAGATTCAAGATGTGGCACAGAATTCATATGGGACATCAATCAGAGTGACTGTGAAACTAGTGATGACAGGTTGAGGTGTGCAGGGCAAAGCTGTACCAGATTTCTTCAATAGGAAAGGCTTCATCTGTGGTGCAAGTGAGGCTTGCCAAACAGTGCATGTTCAATTAATACTGTGTCTAGGAATCTGACACCTTGCTCCGGTTCATCTTCTGATCAATCATACATCAGGTGGTCCAAAGTTCTTTCTGAGTTGTCAACTGCAGAGAGTTTTAAAGCAACGATCGGGGCAGTGTCTGGTCAGCTAACAAGGAATATCAGAAGCAGTGCATCAAAATCAACTAGATGGAGTGAAGTTGCAACAGTGTATAGAACCAGAGACTAAGCTTATGTTATCGGGTGCAACTACCGAGGAAAAAGTCATTTTGATGACGCCTTCAACTGATTAGCATTTGAGGAATAAGTCGGATTTCATAATGTGTAATGTGTCATAATAAGGAAGTTAGAGTGATTATCTATTTGTCCTCGTTGACGATAATTTTATATTTCTTGGATGTTGATGTTTTAAATCGCCAGTGAATTGATTCAATCGAGACTTGAAAGACTGCGATCTTTATATTTTTAATGCAATATCATTTTCACTGAGAGAACTATGAAATCCACGACTAATAATGTTTTTAGAATTCGTGACTTGAGGTATAAGTTGTTGACATTAGGGTGTGACATTCCGACATTCCACCAATTGGAATTTATTGAATAATTGAGTTTTATGAGATGTGCTCGCAGTAAATTCTCGCCCGGAACTGATCATTCCTGGGAGTGCTAACCATTAGGGAAAGGCTAATAGGGGAATTAAATTCGCGCGACTAGAGAAAATTCGATCGTGAATGGATTTCGACCAATTAAATCGCGGAAGTGATATTTTGAGCCATTGTTGGCCGATCCAAGGATAGTTAGGGGTCGGTTCGTCATCGTCCTAGTAGTGGATCGCGGGTGATTCCGTTGGACCATGGCGACTTGGCGAATGATTCCGAAATTATACCGAACGATCGTACCCGCCGGATCAAGTGATTGATCTTTGCGATTTTAATGACAACCGAGGTCGTCACGTACCGAACGGACTTGCACGTGACTCGATTTAGTATCAGTCATGAGTCGATTTCACGAATTTCCCCAGCAAGCCGCCCGTTAGCTCGAGAAATGCTCGAGTTGCGTTTAATAGAATTTAATTAATGAAATTTTGCCCAAATTGGACACCGGAAAATTAGGAAGTCACGACGGAACGCCAGGACGACGTTGCACGTGACACGTGTGAATTTTTGGTGCGCTTAAATCCTTAGGAAAAATTCGATTTAGGCGAGAAACGGAGAATTGGACCATTTTACCCTTGAGTATTAAAGAAAGGGTAGTTTTAGGGGCAAGGGGCATTTTGGTCATTTGTGCCCTAGATATTTTGGGTCAAAGCTACTATTCATGTCTAGACCATTCTTCTCTCTCTCTCTTCTCTCCCCTCATTTCTTCTCTCTCCCCCATCGTGAAATTCCCCCCCTCCACCGTGAGACCTCTCCCCCTCCACCGATCACTCTCCCTCTCCCTCTCCCTCCGCCGTTCACCGCCGCGCCCCAAGCCGCCGTCCGTACGTCCGCCGGACCGCCGCCGCGCCCAAGCCGCCGTCCTCACCGCCTCATCCCCACCCAACCGTGACACTCTCTCTCTCTCTTTCCATCTCTGGCCGTGGGCCCTCTTAGCCGCCGTGGACACCGCCGCAAGCCGCCGCTCGCCGATCGTCGCCGATTGTCGCCGCCGCCGCAAGCCTTCGTCGGATTTCAAGTTTTACCGCCGCTTTTGTTCTAGCCGAGAGAGTCTAGAACGAGGTAAGTTGTGATCTAAGCTCTCGCCTAGTAGATCGGGTTGTTTCGGGTTTAGATAGACGCGGGTTGTTGTGATTTTGCGGGCTAAGTTGAATTACGGGCCTAGGTTTGAATTTCGAGGATTTTGGTGGAAAATTTGGGGCCGATCAATGCTGTGAATTGGGGTTTAGTGTGCTGTGGTGTGCTATTGGGTATGAGAATGGTCCCGTTGAGTCCGGCTCCGAGTTTTATGTAAGTATCGTAAAGAGTTGGAAGTGTGATTTTATGGTTTGAGTGCAGAAATTACTGTTCACGAGCTGTGCAGAAATTACTGTTTACGAGCTGTGGGTGTACTGTGCACTGTGCTGTGGTGAGTCGTTTGATGCGTAATTGGTGCCGTGAGGTCCGTCTTGGAATTTTATGAAAATCCCGTGAAGGGCTGAAAATGATTTGAAAACATTTGAACAAAGAAAAATACTGTTTTACGTGAGAATGTGTTTTTGTGTGAAAATGGTGATGTGGTGAAGTATGGGGTGCAAGTGTGCACGGAATTTGAGGCAATGGCATGAGAAAGTGAGGTGGGATCGGGCCGAGTATCATAAACTCGGGCAGCGATCACGTAGGTCTGTTGCATTTGGCATAGGCTAAGGCTCGAAAGAGCATGATTGAGTGCCGTCCGAGGCACGATCAGCTCGGGTGAGACCGGGATTGGACCGAGGCATTATAAGCTCGGGTTCCGATCATGTAGGCCTGTCGCATTTGGTGCGGGCTGAGTGTTGGTCGCAGTGTACCTGAGGCGTGTACGTTTACGCAGGTCACCGGCGAGTGATGTGGGAAGTAATGAGTGGTCGCAGGTGTACCCGAGGCGTGTACGTTTACGCGGGTCACTTTTGGCGAGTATTATGGGAATGAAGAATTGAGAATGGAAAGAATGAGAAAGTGGAGGTGGAATGGGCGTATGTTGAGTGGATCGAAATCGCGTTATGTTCGTTGGGTGAGTGATTTGTGGAAAATTTGTATGTTGTCTTGTGTTTTCAAAATAAATTTTTATAAGTGGACTATTGTGCAGGCTGCGTGTGTCGAGAGCCCAGGTATGTGTATTCGTGTGTTTTGTGGTGGTTTGATTGGTCATGTGTTTATCTATGTCTGGAATAACGTGATAGCCTAGGTAGGGTTTAGGTTACAACTTATTGAGAAGTGTCTCATGGTTGTATAAACCAAACCATTTCAGATCCCCTGCCTGAGCGATGAATATTCCGCCGCCGCTACCAGAACATTTCGGAACCCTCAGTAGATGGGACGATACAAGGGGATTCCGACTCAGAGGACGAAGAATCGGATTCAGAATGGACGCCTAGTAAGGGGCGTAGGGAGTAATATCCGGATATGGAATAGGTTTTTGCGAGTACCATTTTTGGATGGAAAGTTGACCAGGTCATAGGCCCTTTTTGTTACTGACCGTAGTGGTGTGGCGGGTACTTGTATTTATGGTGGCTTGTACGTGTTGGGGTGGCTTTGTAATTGTAAATATTTTGGTATAAGTTTGGAAATGAGATATGGATATGTATATTCTCCCTTAATGCCTCCCCAATTTTTATATTGTCCGGGATTAATTGTAATATCCGCTGTGGTTGTAAATCTCTGATGATTATTTGAGGTCGGCGACATTCCTGGAACGTCGCACTCATCGACCAGGTAAGGGGCGTCACGTGCCCATTGGGGTTCGGGACGTGACATCCCCGTTTGAATTGGTATCAGAGCAAGGTCAACTCGATCTAAGATTGGTCGAATTGGAGTGATAAGGAACAGAGATTTTGGGGTAGGAATTGAGAGAGACTTTAGTGAGCCATAGATATACCTAGTGCTACACGTATTCCAGACTATCTGTTATGATTGATTGCTTGAATTGAATGTTGTGTTGAGTTGAGTACCTGCTGAGTGGATTACTGCGTTAATTCACTGTTTAGAACTAGATTGATCTAGTTGGTTTAGATCGCTAATTCCTGAGTGGAATTACGACAGGTAGTAGAGTGGTAGAATTGAGACGATGAGCAGTGAAGGAAGAGGCGTAGGAAGAGTCCCAAGAAGGGGCGCAGGAAGAGGAACGAGAGGTCGAGGTCGTGCTCGAGCTAGGACTGTCGAGGACCTCGGAATGGGTGCTAGAGCAGTAGAGAATCCTAGAGTGGATATTGGTGCTGCAGTGGACCCTAGAGTGGAAGTTAGACCTGTTGAGGATCCTCGAATGGAAGTCATTATGAGGACGTTGGAACGAATTGGAAATCTGTTAGAACAGCAGACTCAGGAAAGAGCTACTCCGATTGCCCAAGTTGCCAAGGCCGCCGAGGCCGCTGTTGTTGCTAATAATGATGAGCATCAAGGGCAGGGACAAGTGGTTGCTAATAGACCTATGCATCAGTTGGTAGAACAGTTTATTAAGCTGAAACCACCCAAGTTTTCTGGGAAAGGTGACCCGGAGGCTGCACCTAGATGGGTAGAAGAATTGGAGAAGGCTTTTGAGGTGCTGGAGTGTAACAATCACGAAAGGGTGACTTTGGCAGTGTATCAGCTACAGGATAATGCGAATGATTGGTGGAAAGCCACCAAGGATAGGATTTTTCTTGAAGGTACTGCGAAAACTTGGGCTGTTTTTACTGAGAAATTTTATGAGAAATATTTTTCAGCTAGTGCTAGAGAAAGAAAACTCGCGGATTTTATGAGACTCCACCAGGGCCAGATGACGGTAGATCAGTATGAGGCGGAATTCGCGAGATTATCTAAGTTCGCGCCGAGAATGGTGGAACATCCTGAGGATAAGGCGCGAAGATTTCTGGATGGATTGAGGGCTGATATCCGCAGCCAATTGTTATTAGTAAACTTGGGAACGTACGAGCAGATATTTGATAGGGCCCAGATTCTTGAGCGGGATCAAATGGATAGAGCTGCTACATCTGGATCGAGGTTTATCCAGGGTTGGAATAATCGTAATCCTGAGAAGAGGCCGATGGTGGATAATAGGCGTTTCACTCCACTAGCAAAAAGGAATATTGAAAAGCCAATTCGGATTGGGAATGGTCCGTGTAGGATTTGTGGAGGTAGACACGGGAATGGACCTTGTCCAATTAGGGGTGGAGCTTGCTTTGGATATGGAGGATTTGGGCATCATATAAAGAATTGTCCCAATCCCAGGCAGAATAGGTCGCCTGCTTTGCCGCCACCTCGGAATGAGAATCAAGCTGGAGCGGCCCAGACAGCGAATCTGAATCAGAATAGGCCTCCAGCGCAAGGACGAGTGTATGCGATGGCTAGACGAGAGGCTGAGAATGCACCGAGGGTTGTCACAGGTACGATTTCTCTGTGCAACCATGCTGTGTATGTTTTATTTGATCTTGGAGCATCGCATTCTTTCGTAGCGAAACAGTTTGTTGATTTGATTGAGTTAGAACCGCAATTGCTTGATATCGTATTATGTGCGACGATTCCCTTGAATGATAGGATGTTGATTTCGTTTGGTTGTCCAAACTATAAGACTGTGATTGGGATTAGGGAGGAATTGATCAATTTAGCGGTTCTAGATATGTACGACTTTGAGGTGATAATAGGAATGGATCGGTTGTCTAAGTAGAAGGCCGTAATGGATTGTCATAGCAGAGTGATTCAAATTAATCCTATTGGATATTCGGAAATTTTAATGGGTAGGAAGTCGAGGAGGACCCTCGATTCCGTTGTTATCCTCGGTGGAAATGACAAAATTGTTATATGAGGGATGTTAAGGATTTCTAGCTGTAATAGTGGATTCAAAGGCTGAAGAACCAAGACTTAAGGATATAGCGGTAGTGTGTGAATATCCCGATGTGTTTCCTCAAGAATTGCCGAGGATTGATGATTTGTTTGACCAGTTACAAGGAGCTTCAGTGTCCTCTAAGATTGATCTGAGAACGGGGTATCATCAGTTGAAAATTAGAAAGGAGGATATACCGAAGACGGCATTCAGAACGAGGTACGGACACTATTAATTTACGGTGGTGCGTCGTTGAAAGAATTAGAGTGTGTATTGATGAAACATGGGCGGGTGGTAGCCTATGCATTCAGACAGTTGAGACCACAAGAATTAAATTATCCGACGCACGACTTGGAGATAGCCGCAATAGTGTTCGCCATGAAGATTTAGCGACATTATTTATGCGGGGAGATTTTAAATTTATACTGACCATCAGAGCTTCAAGTATTTATTCTCACAGAAAAAGTCGAATGTGAGATAGTGACGTGGGATGGAAATGGTAAAAGACTGAGATGGTAATATTTTATATCACCTCGGAAAGGTAAACTGAGTTGCGGATGCGTTGAGCTGGAAATCAAGCATCGCGCATTTGATGGTCAAGGAGTGGATTTTGTTGGAGAAAGTACGAGACTCAGAATCCAAATTTGAAGTTATGGACCCAGAGATACAGAAGGTTGTTGGGATGGACGCTACTAAGAAAAAGCCGCGGTAGTCTAAAACGCGGGTAAGACGCGCTCTAAACCCGATTTAGGACTTCGGGTATTGACGGGTAATTTTCGGACAAAATCAGTATGGAATTAGGTGCGGAATTATGTGAATGGGGAGTGAAAATTTTATGGCGGGCCTTGGGATTTAATTCGGGCATTATTTATTGGAAATTCAGAAAATAGGGGCTGCGAATTACTGTTCATATAATGCGAATCACTGTTCACAAGCTGTGAATTACTGTTCATGGGGCTGTGATGACTAGTTCGGGACGCAAGTTGGATTTTTAGAACCGATATTTAATGGCGAGAAAGTTCCGTGAAGGACCGGAATCGATTTGACGTCATTTGGTTAGAGAAAAATAGCCATTTTGTGTTTATTGTGTGTTTGGAAAAAAAATTGAGGACCGGAATGAACGAGTCTTGAAGAACAAGACAATCCCGACGGTCAAGGTTATCTGGGAGCACCACGAGACGCAAGGCGTGACCTGAGAAGGAGAGGAACAAATGCAACGTTATTACCCCCAACTGTTTGGTAGTTAATTGGATTAAATTTCGAGGACGAAATTTTATAAGAAGGGAAGATTGTGACATTCCGAAATTCCACCAATTGGAATTTATTGAATAATTGAGTTTTATGAGATGTGCTCACAGTAAATTCTCGCCCGGAACTGATCATTCCTGGGAGTGCTAACCATTAGGGAAAGGCTAATAGGGGAATTAAATTCGCGCGACTAGAGAAAATTCGATCGTGAATGGATTTCGACCATTAAATCGCGGAAGTGATATTTTGAGCCACTGTTGGCCGATCCAAGGATAGTTAGAGGTCAGTTCGTCATCGTCCTAGTAGTGGATCGCGGGTGATTCCGTTGGACCACGAAGCGACTTGACGAATGATTCCGAAATTATACCGAACGATCGTACCCCTCGGATCAAGTGATTGATCTTTGCGATTTTAATGATAACCGAAGTCGTCACGTACCGAACGGACTTGCACGTGACTCGATTTAGTATCAGTCATGAGTCGATTTCACGAATTTCCCCAGCAAGCCGCCCGTTAGCTCGAGAAATGCTCGAGTTGCGTTTAATAGAATTTAATTAATGAAATTTTGCCCAAATTGGACACCGGAAAATTAGGAAGTCACGACGGAACGCCAGGACGACATTGCACGTGACACGTGTGAATTTTTGGTGCGCTTAAATCCTTAGGAAAAATTCGATTTAGGCGAGAAACGGAGAATTTGACCATTTTACCCTTGAGTATTAAAGAAAGGGTAGTTTTAGGGGCAAGGGGCATTTTGGTCATTTGTGCCCTAGATATTTTGGGTCAAAGCTACTATTCATGTCTAGACCATTCTTCTCTCTCTCTTCTCTCCCCTCATTTCTTCTCTCTCCCCCATCGTGAAATTCCCCCCCTCCACCGTGAGACCTCTCCCCCTCCACCGATCACTCTCCCTCTCCCTCTCCCTCCGCCGTTCACCGCCGCGCCCCAAACCGCCGTCCGTACGTCCGCCGGACCGCCGCCGCGCCCAAGCCGCCGTCCTCACCGCCTCATCCCCACCCAACCGTGACACTCTCTCTCTCTCTTTCCATCTCTGGCCGTGGGCCCTCTTAGCCGCCGTGGACACCGCCGCAAGCCGCCGCTCGCCGATCGTCGCCGATTGTCGCCGCCGCCGCAAGCCTTCGTCGGATTTCAAGTTTTACCGCCGCTTTTGTTCTAGCCGAGAGAGTCTAGAACGAGGTAAGTTGTGATCTAAGCTCTCGCCTAGTAGATCGGGTTGTTTCGGGTTTAGATAGACGCGGGTTGTTGTGATTTTGCGGGCTAAGTTGAATTACGGGCCTAGGTTTGAATTTCGAGGATTTTGGTGGAAAATTTGGGGCCGATCAATGCTGTGAATTGGGGTTTAGTGTGCTGTGGTGTGCTATTGGGTATGAGAATGGTCCCGTTGAGTCCGGCTCCGAGTTTTATGTAAGTATCGTAAAGAGTTGGAAGTGTGATTTTATGGTTTGAGTGCAGAAATTACTGTTCACGAGCTGTGCAGAAATTACTGTTTACGAGCTGTGGGTGTACTGTGCACTGTGCTGTGGTGAGTCGTTTGATGCGTAATTGGTGCCGTGAGGTCCGTCTTGGAATTTTATGAAAATCCCGTGAAGGGCTGAAAATGATTTGAAAACATTTGAACAAAGAAAAATACTGTTTTACGTGAGAATGTGTTTTTGTGTGAAAATGGTGATGTGGTGAAGTATGGGGTGCAAGTGTGCACGGAATTTGAGGCAATGACATGAGAAAGTGAGGTGGGATCGGGCCGAGTATCATAAACTCGGGCAGCGATCACGTAGGTCTGTTGCATTTGGCACAGGCTAAGGCTCGAAAGAGCATGATTGAGTGCGGTCCGAGGCACGATCAGCTCGGGTGAGACCGGGATTGGACCGAGGCATTATAAGCTCGGGTTCCGATCATGTAGGCCTGTCGCATTTGGTGCGGGCTGAGTGTTGGTCGCAGTGTACCACGAGGCGTGTACGTTTACGCAGTCTTTGGCAGTGATGTGGGAAGTAATGAGTGGTCGCGGGTACCCGTGCAGGCGTGTACGTTACGCGGGTCACTGGCGAGTATTATGGGAAGGAAGAATTGAGAATGGAAAGAATGAGAAAGTGGAGGTGGAATGGGCGTATATTGAGTGGATCGAAATCGCGTTATGTTCGTTGGGTGAGTGATTTGTGGAAAATTTGTATGTTGTCTTGTGTTTTCAAAATAAATTTTTATAAGTGGACTATTGTGCAGGCTGCGTGTGTCGAGAGCCCAGGTATGTGTATTCGTGTGTTTTGTGGTGGTTTGATTGGTCATGTGTTTATCTATGTCTGGAATAACGTGATAGCCTAGGTAGGGTTTAGGTTACAACTTATTGAGAAGTGTCTCATGGTTGTATAAACCAAACCATTTCAGATCCCTCGCCTGAGCGATGAATATTCCGCCGCCGCCACCAGAACATTTTGGAACCCTCAGTAGATGGGACGATACAAGGGGATTCCGACTCAGAGGACGAAGAATCGGATTCAGAATGGACGCCTAGTAAGGGGCGTAGGGAGTAATATCCGGATATGGAATAGGTTTTTGCGAGTACCATTTTTGGATGGAAAGTTGACCAGGTCATAGGCCCTTTTTGTTACTGACCGTAGTGGTGTGGCGGGTACTTGTATTTATGGTGGCTTGTACGTGTTGGGGTGGCTTTGTAATTGTAAATATTTTGGTATAAGTTTGGAAATGAGATATGGATATGTATATTCTCCCTTAATGCCTCCCCAATTTTTATATTGTCCAGAATTAATTGTAATATCCGTTGTGGTTGTAAATCTCTGATGATTATTTGAGGCCGGCGACATTCCTGGGACGTCGCACTCATCGACCAGGTAAGGGGCGTCACGTGCCCATTGGGGTTCGGGGCGTGACATAGGGTTTACAAATGGGCAGGAAATCCTTCCATCAATTCAAAGCATTAGGTAATGACCATAATTATTTACACATATCTTTCCAACCATTTCATGATATCCGAGCATAAAATATAAGGGAGACAGAAGAACTTGGGGGAATAGAAAGCCAACATCAAACTTCTTATGATTTTTCCTAAACTTGAATGATCAAACATTATACCAAATGGAAATTATTTAAAAAGGCACACTTTAACATAGTATTGGTATAGGTACAAGAACATCTAGAGGAGACACTCGAGTTACCTTCATATAAATAACTGCCGAAACCCCTAAACTAAAGGTTTTGTTATCCAATTGAAAGTCCACCACAACACAGCAAACACCTCTTTTGAGAAAAAGCCCCACTTCAAACCCTTTTTTGAAATAATCCCTAAGAATATTTTGACTCGACATCCAAGTTGATTCATTTCTACGATAGTAAAAATGATCCAAGGAAGTTTTATAGCCACAAACATCAAAAAAAAAATTTCGACGAACACAAACGTCAAATTTAGAGAAGGCTTGAATTTTAAAGATGTTTCCTTCCTAGTTTTTTTTTTAGGGGGGTCGTACCTTCCTAGTTAATGTGAAAGCTATCCATCATTTATGCAAAAGAGAAAGAAAACTATTCACCACCATCACTAATTTTTGGGTCCTTAGTATTGGGTCCTTCAGCAGCATTTCCGCAGATACTGATCTAAAAAAGGGGGCTTACCAAAAATAAGAATGAATGAATGAATGCAGGTATTCTATCCCTTATGGCGCCCCTCTTACTTCTTAGGCCCTTACCACATGGGACTGACTTTTAGTATTCAATTCATTCCAATTCGGGCATAAGGCTCTCTGGCCTCAGGTTTCTTATGTACAAGATACTCGTAGAGGCGAGTGCACATATTACCAGGAAGTAATCAAGACTTTGCTATCATGCCATTCTAAGATATCTAATATCTACAGGCTTTCAGGGAGGAAGGAAGTGTTTAACCACTCATGATTTTGCACACTGAACACTCAGGCTAAGATCGTGATTATATTAGATTTCTTTCTCTTATCCTATCTATTAACTATTAGAAATTAAAATATAACTCATCCTCGTGTCATCTATCCAACAGTGAATATGTAAAATAAAGATTACTTTATCTATCGTCATGGCGGGGTGGCGCCACCATTGAGGAGAAAGAAGAGGCGGCAAGAAAGAGTGAGAGGCGAGAAATCAAACGAGATTGAGAAATCCATCGTCGGGAGTAATCAGGGCATTCCTAAAGAATAGGTCTTTACTTACAAATCACGTTACAAGCCATGCGTATGGACTTGGGGTATTACAACTATGGACGAAAGTATCATACCGCAAGCCCTCTCAACGGTTAGATGAACAGATATTGATGCATGACCTGTGTCGAGAATTAATAAAATCGAGATAAACATACAAATTGTGAGGAAAAGATAATTCTACAACATACAAGCTTACAAGATTGACATAATGTCCTCTCCTCGGGGAAGCATAGTTGGTGCACAGCATTATCACTGATATAATAAGCAAGCTGAGATTAACATCTATAAAGGTCCTCAAACACAGGCAATCCGTTGCAATAATTCACAACTAGTCTTTATACCAAAATCTACACATGCACTGCAGTTTATCATACTAATCCGTCCTCTCGTCAAAGTTCAAGAGATCAAAGAGATCGATACCGTCGCTCAGAGTTAATGGCATGTAGCAAGGTCTGTCACTAGGTCCGTCGACATGCTGAGGGTCATCATAAGACGAGTTGCTCTTTGCACGGTCGAGGCTGCTGATTAGGAGTAGGTACAGTCCGGTCTGGTAAATTAGAATTCGATGTGTCGTTCAGAATGTCCGGTTCAATAGTAACTCTTGGAGATGCCTGAACCCAAAAAAAAAAAACAGAACAGTACTCGAGCTTTGGTATAGTTTAGATATATCTGTAGATCATAAGTTGCTTTGGGTTAATCTAAAGCAACATTTGGTCACCGTGCACTAATTGCTTGTGTTCCTTCATTTTGGGAATCATTCAGCTTATTAAGGCCGCTTAAATCGGTTGACGTACTCGCTTTCGCTGACTTTGCTTTCTTACTTTTCCTGTTTATTATGCTGACAGAGAACCAACGCCATCTACAAAGACAAAATGGTACCGGGGATGAGTTTCAGATAACTGAAATTCCATTGTTACACGAAAGTATTTTATGCACGATATACATCGTGCGTCACTTATCAAAATTGATGCAATTTAAATTTCAAGAACAAATTGTCCCCTTTGTTGCTGCAGAATCACTCTATTTTTGGCAGTATGACCATCACTAGTCACTGGAACTAAAACACCAGTGATGAATCTATCACATAAAATGACTATTGGTAAGGTTGGTGTCTCAATCTTCCTCATGAAATTCTACGAAATACAATAGGAAAATTTCCACTTTGAAGATACTAGCGTTCGATATACTGCTGGAATTGAAGGTAAATCGCACTTAAATCGTGGGCTAGAGGGAGGAGCTAGCCAATCATGAACTCAAAGAAGCTGAATGAGGAACACATGTAGAGAAATGAAATCAATTTTACCTGCACTTGTAACCATGTTAGAGATGCTCAATTAGGGGAAGCAAAAGAAGAGCAGTCAAATATTGGGTCCGAAATTTCACCATCCGAAACATTCGAATTAGGTAATATTCGTGCATGACCACATCAGTCTCATGGCCCTTTGGTTGTCGACCTTCATAGTAAACCGAAATCCTCTTGGTCCCCATTGGCTTAGCGGTGTCTGGTGCTCATGTAACGTGTCTGTTACTTGTCTCTTTCGAAAATCCGCACTCGGTCTTCCTCTTACAACCACGGGGACAAAAGAAGAAACTCTTGCGTTAATCCAATGGTCCACTTGATAATGATACAAGCAACTATTGTTTAATGTTAGTTCACTAAGGTGTTATAGGCAACTACCAATTTCCATACCATAAGAGCATAGAGAAATAGAAAAACACTAAGGGCTAAATGTAAGTTGTCATCACATAGGATAAATAAATCCTAAGGCTCCCAGTTGCAGATGTATAGCTCGGGAATTACGCATTTGGTTTCCATTTCTCCTTCGAGCTTTTTCGTCAATCAATGACCAATGAGTTCGTCCTCCATTGGTTTGAATCTGAGTCCCTCTGGCCACCCCTCCGTTGATACTGCCATGCTATATGCTTGCAATCTAACATTCAATTCTGCAATAGAAAAAGAAGGAGAAGAGGAGAGAATGGGACTGGAGAATAAGCAGAGGAAGAGAACAGAAACAGAGGAAACAGAGCTTTCTCTTGGCTTGGCTTTGCTTGAGAGTGTCGACTCCAGACACTTTCAAGTGGGTCAATTTATAAATACAAAAGACAAGCACTTTAGAGAAGGAAAAAACAGTTCAAGTGGACCCAACCTCAAGCTCAAGACGATGACGTTTCCACTAACACCACCTTCTTTGAAGTCCACGAGGCTATTTAACTTTGTTACTGCGACCCATCTAGTTGTTTTAATCAATGGAAAAATATGAAAGCTTATAGCTTCATGACCTCGTATATGCATGATTAAGCTTTTATCTTCCAGAGGAGTGTGAACTTTGTGGGGAAATAAATTCTAGGGCAGGCTCGTATACTTTGGCAAAAGTTAGGTAGATGTTCTTGACTCAAAAGTTTAAATTGCGTCATAATCTATGCCATCGATTTTATTTCGGCACCCCTGTTTTTTTTTCTATAACTGGATGATTCTCCGGCCGTTATACAAGTTCCCCTACTTCGTTTTCTTTGAATCGATATAGCTCTTCTTGCATACTTCAATTCAATTTCCATCCGACAGTGCTTCCTCCAAATCCTTTGGTTCTATATCGGATGGGAACGTCGTGGAGTTCTGGAGGATGATCTAGTCTCGATTCCTTCTAAGACATCTCCGAGGATTTGCTCCTTTGAATGATTCGATTTGAACTCCCAATCTTTGCGGATAGGTGCAGAGTCAGTGACCTGTTCCTCTTTTTGGCTTCTTTGCTTCTGTAGAAGCTGCCGCATCTGTATTTTGGGCGGGTTCTTTATTTTCCACAGCTTCTACAAACCTATGAGAATCTTCAAATTGGCTATGGTTGCCGTTTTGCCAACCGATTCATTTTCCTTTTTCCAGTACTTAGTTTTGTTTTCCTTTGATTTTGCCACATCATGATATGATACGTGGAAAATATATATTAACTAAATATAAAAAATCACTTGAACAATGTTTTATTTGATAAATAACAAGTTGCCTCTTGCATTGCCATGTATATTTTTCAATAAAGCTACCGACCAAATATTATAATCAATTGTGAACAATAGAGCATGATCTGTTGGCACACACCATCGATGCATATCGACGCAATGTACCTAACCCGAGATGAGTTTGGTCTACTTTATCTAAGAGATTGAGAGTCTCGTTACTTCAATTATGATAATGGGAAATATCATTCACCATTCAAGTTGGAACTTAGATGGCGAGCCTCACAAATCGGAGGTAAAATAAAAACGCAAGGAGATATTTGCAGGCATCCGAATCTGTAGGGCAGGAGTAAGCGTGCCATAGCAACCAAAACATCACACTGGATGAAACATACAGATAACTCTGAGACCCCGGTTCTCAACTAAATGGTACTCAATCAAGGCATTTGTCCTGCTGGAAGAAGAAATTCAAATGAGTAGAGAATTTATTGGAACTGTAAAATGTTTTATAGACACATCTTGATTGGAAGGATTCATCTACTAATGGAACTGATGCAGTAACAGAAACTGAACACTGTACATGTGTCAGTATCTCAACTCTACTCGTAGAGTATATATTCTACACCACCAATGTACCAAACGAAAGTCCAAAAGCAAAAGAAGTCAAACGACAGAGCAGTCTTGAGTCCAATTCTGCACCAGTTACTTGACGATTGTCATCATCTTGAAGCTGGCAGCAGTTCACAGTGGTCCATCATAAACAACCTTCGCAGCCGAGTAAACCAACCGAGCATCATCTGCCGAGGAAGGGTAGGCACAATCATTCCTGGCCTCATTACATAGTATTACTTCACATCCATTTCAAAAAGACTAGGAATCCAGCATCAAGATTAAACTAACGAAAGTCTTTTTGATTTATTCTGTTCGTGTCTGGAATAGGCAATATAGTGCAAAATGCACCTCTATAGCATTCTCAGCACATTCATTAGCTTGTTCCTATTGAAAGAAGATATCCTGTTCAGAACCAGCCTCTACAAGTTGCGCGATTGCTTTCCTTGATGAGTCGCACTCGTTTCCATTACACCACTGTGTTTCTTACCCACTCTACTGAAATTATTGAAATTAACACAGCAAAAGAAGTAGAATCAAACCAAACTGATATAATATCCAAGAATGCATAAATTCCCTGCTGTCTCTATTGAAAGAATATTCATACCTGCAACTCCAATTAGATCAAACGTCAAGGGTACGTTCGAATCTGCCTTGACAGTGGCTTTTGCTGCTGCAATACCCACTGAGATGGCTTGTATAATGTTCAAACAATCGCCAGCCCCAGTAAGCTTCTTAACAGATGTAGGAAGGCCAGGAAGATGCAAAGCAAAGAGATGAGAGGTTCCCTCGATCTGTCTGGCATCTTGAAACTTATGTAGAAGGCAATTAGGTGAGATCAGTCTGTGCAGTTCTGAACTTACACCAAGTGTTTGGGTTTCTCCACAACAGTTCTCGTCAAAATAGACCCCTCTTTAGAGCATAGAAATACTCCTTGTGCGCCTATGGTTACAACTACAATTTTTACGCCCTTCTCGAGCAAAAGAATTATTGCGGGTTTTAGCATTTTGATGAGCGATTCTGGAGGACAGTTCTTTTCGCTCTTATAACTTTCGCTCGAACAATATAACTTTCCAGGAAATAGTGCATCTGCCGTTGCAAAGAGCTCATCTTCATTTGGAGATACATAAGTTACCTGCAAAGAGCCCATGTTGTCAGTAGCAGATCTGCAATATGAAGCTTTCAGAATTTAGGAACCGCTTAATGCCACTCTTAAACTATGCCCATGTGAGCTGAATTTTGTTTATCCTAATGCCATATTGTTTTCATAACTGAAAAGGATGCCAAAACCAAGAAACCAACGATATAAACCAGTAACACTTTATTTCATTACCTGATCGATAGGAACTTGATGCGGTCAATTTTTACTCAAAAATGAGATCTTGTCAAAGTTTAACAATATCACAAACATGAATCAATTGTGTGTGATGTGTGGTTTATAATTTCCTCATTGAATTAAGAAAATATTATGTGTGTATCACACTTAAGTGTATTCACTATGGAAAAGTTTCCTTCAACTCATCTAGACTGCAAATTAATATCCTAGTGGAAGAATAACATCACCAGCCATCCTGACTACTGGAAATATTATCACCAGGCTATGAATTTGACATACATTATTAACGAAAGTCTATGCAAAGCCACTAAATTTTGTTTTGATATGCTACATGCAGATTCTCCAACCTAAACAACGACTTCACCATTTTCCTCCATAGCCATACGGATGGTAAGCAATTCTATGAAATATGTTGAAAACAACTGCTTTATTCATTTTTGAGCGTACATAACTAATGGTCTGAGTAAATCAATTTGAAGCACTAAACTTTTCTCATCAGAATATTTTTCTTTTTGCTCTCCGTCAGTCAGGTGCTAAGGATGATGCTAATCAACTACTCCATTAGCAATCGAGTCAGAAATTTGAGATTGAAAGACATTATGTCGTGACTTCCATAAAATGTATTATTGAGCCTATCCGATTGTGTATCAACTTCAGACTTAAACAAGTTTACTCAGCACAGAGAAAATAGCACAAAAGAAAGTGAATGCCCATCACAAGGCGCAGCACTCACATACTTCACAAGAGGAGCAATTTTTTTGGATTTGGCAACTGATACTGGTTCAAACCACAGAGGAATGTTATCTCCTGCAGCCACTGCAAACAAAATTTAAAGAAAAACCAAGTTAATTCTGAAGAGCTTTCTATTGACTCAGAGTAGATCATTTAATCAAGCCAGATGAAAAATCAAACCACGCCGTATGTTTAGAATTACACTGACAAGAAGCTTCAAGAGCACAATCGTTCAGGTTAGCATCAACCATGACTACTGGAGCAGAAGATATCTTGTATCTAAATTGTTGAATCCACTCAGCAGTGAGAAATTTCTCCTGAAGGTCATCAGTGAGTGCATTTATGCATCTAAGAGATAACACAAGTATGCCCGCTCATCCTGATATTTTTTTTTATAGCAAAATTAACTTACAATTGACTCAAAGCTTGCAACACCGGCAGCCCTCACCATTTGGATCAAGTACACAGCAGACCACAGCAGTTGTAATATCTTGGGTTTGAAGGATACCTGCCTTGAAATTGCTGAGTTTAAGAACGAGAAGCACATATAACTTATTATTTGAAGCCAAAAAAATAGGAGAGTACCTAGTACTTATTATGACAAAGTAAATAAGAGTGATTAGAAGGATAAATTTGAGCAGTGTACTTAGCTGGCTGTAAAGCTAAATTTACCAAAGTTCCATCACTACAATCTATTTAGGCTGTGCATGGCAACTATTCTGTGACCGGAAATAGATTCTGCTCAGAAATTATTTTTTTTGATTCCGTGTCCGGGAATAATTCCTAAGCATTTGAAGGCGTTTGGTAACTGCCCAAAATTTCTATTTTTAGAATAGAAAAAAAAACATAAATGCGTTTGGTAACTACACAAAATTTCGTCCTTTTTTTCTTTTTTTTCCTTCTCTTCCTTGGCCATGGCCAATCACTGGCACCAACGACCGGTCACAGGCCAGGGCCGGCAAGGTCAGCCTCGCCTTGGCTGGGTGAGACTCGACCTCGCCCAGATCTGGCGAGGCCGACCTCGCCGTCGCCAGATTTGGGCGAGGTCGAGCCTCGCCTCACCATGGCTGGGCGAGGCCTCGCCGTCACGGCCGCGAGCCGCGCTTGTCCAAGCGGCGAGGGGGACCCTCGCCGGCCACAGGTGAGGGCCGCGACGCCCTCGCTGGCCCTGGCCTATGGCCGGCGGTGGCGGCAGTAGGCGGGCGGCAGGTCGGAAAGAAGAAGAAAAACAAACCAAGAAAAAAGAAGAAAACCAAGAAGAATCAGAAATGGAAAAATTGTTCCAGAATCAAGAAGCTACTTTTTTTTGCTTCTTGATTCTGTTCCAAAACTGATTCTGGAAATAATTTTTTGCAAAAGTGTGCCTGGGCACAAAAAATCTAACAAACGGATTTCTGTTCCCAAACTGATTTTGGGAACAAAACAACAGAAATTTTTACTGTTTGGCAAGTTGCCAAACAGGCTCTCAGCAGATTTTACTAGGCATGTCAGATAAGCAGTTAAACTGAGCATGTTAACCTTCAATAGGACACCCAGTAGATCTCCAATGCTCCAATAAGCGTTTCCCTGACACATAGGGCAAAGGATGATGTTAGCAAAATCATGGGAAGACACAGAAACCTCAATAAGAAAACCGATAAATAAAGAGACGACAAAGAATTTGCCTGCCTCAGCAAGTGGCGTATAATCATGCATGAAGGACGAATAGACATTTTTTTTTTTTGGTCGAGAAGCACGAACAGACATTCACTATATCAAGGCGGAGCAAATAGAAAGAAGAACATTCTCATACCTTGGTACCTCAAATACATACAGTTTACTTGCAAATTCTCAATATGAAAAGTGAAGACGACATTTGGCAAAATCCTAATGGCCAATTCCAGTCCCTCACAGACCTCCAAAACGATCTCAACTGGGGACGTCCTCAAAATTTATTGATTCTGATTAAAATCAGGCTGGCATACCCGAATTCCAGTCACAATCAACAGATGATTGTTTAAAAAAACTATCGTTTCCCCTAAAAATAATTAGGTTTGATAATATACCTTGTGAATCTAAAGGAAAATCTCTCAAATTACAACAAAAGCCTGTTTGACCCCTGTAGACATTGTCTTCTGTTTGCAGGTGAGTGAATTCCCTAACGTTTGGATAGGACAGTGTGTTACGTGGTTGGAACGCGGCTTGGGAGGTTGTTGTTGCTTGAAACGGTTTTGTTCTTGTGCACGGTTGCATGACACTTGGATGCGGTAATTTGTGTGATATATTGATGTTCTTAACCATGCTTGTTGATTTATGAGCTTGTGAGCTTTTCATGTGTACATAGCAACTAGGACTTTATGTGCGTGGGTTAAGATAGAGGATAATAAACCGGCTTGTGCGATCCATGATGTGTGATCACTAAATGAAAGAAGAAGACCGTCGTCACATATTGTTGGCGACGATGCCTCAGTTGAGCCGGGATACCCTGGTTGAGCTATGATGCTTGGGTTGAACCCGGATGCCTCGGTAAGCTAGCCCGAGGATGCCTTGGTTGAGCCGGGATGCCTTGGTTGAGCCGGGATGCCTTGCATGAAACTAGATGTCTCGATTGAGCCGAGATGCCCTGGTTGAGCTATGATGACGATAAATGAATTTTATGTGTGCCGATCTGTGTGTTTATTGATAAGTCGAAGGTTTCCGGATGCCAAAAGGATCCCGGAGGACTCGTCACCCACATATTGAGGAGGCGATGCCATGCCCCGATGGATTTTGATTGTAAAATAAATGAATTCACGTGTGAATATTTTAGGTATTTTTGCATGCCGATTGGTTGCGAGGCTTCACGTGTAAATTTTCTTGTATATTTTTATGTGACCGGATAAATGTGAGCTTTCATGTAAACATAGCAAGGGCAAGGTCAAATTCTTTGCTATTGATTTGCCATCGACATAAGGCGGGGACAATAATTGTATGTGTTAGTACGACGGCGAGGCATCATCCTACACAAGTATTAGTAAATTTACTCATTGAGTTTTCAACTCATTCCAGTTGTTTTTCATGTTTTTAGGATGAGCTCCGCGTCCCTGATTCATTTTGGTGTACTTGTCAAGATGGAAGTTGACGTAGAGGAGTTAAGATTAACCCCGGCCTTCGCTTCTGATGTAACCAGATATGGTTTGTACGTGGAACGGCCCATAGAAAAGGGCTTGTGAAATATGTTTATGTAATATGGTAATAGTGTGTTTTGTCTATTGTGTTTTCCCTGATTTCCAATTATTATTTTGTTTGGGAGTTTGTTTGTACATGTTTTCGCATGTGCTTATTAATTAGATAAAAGAAATGAGATGGCAACGAGCCTAGAACATTGTATTAATAACCCCGAGGTGAGAGGACGTTACGAGATATGATTAATAAACTGTCGAGTTCGCATTAAATCCGAACTTGACATAGACGCAAAAGCAATAATGATGAACCTTGCTTTGATGAACTTGCCATCTACTAGTAAAGTGAGATTAACTATGAACCAATTCGAATGAACACATGCATCTCTCCCTTTTGCTCTTGAAATTCTCTCAAGTTGAGTCAGGTTCACGCATATCTTTTGTTTTCAAATTTTTTTTTCTATCTATTTAGTTACCAAAATTCTCGTGCTTTCAACGTAAGTCCCGACTCCCTTGTTTTCAAATTTATAAAAAAGCATGCTAAGACGTGTTGTGGAACAACATCAAAAGATGCATAAATCGAAGCACAATTAGCAAAAGGACAAAAGTAAAATCAAAACCACAAAAGACAAAATATATCTGAAAACACAAGACAGAAAAAACCACATGAGGAGAGAGTGAGGTTTCATTATCTTCAGCAATAAGTACAAGAGTACAATCCAAAAAGTCAAAAAGCTACTTGGTGAGTCACAAAATCTAAAGATCTAACAAAAAGAAAGGAAGAATAAAGAATGGAGAGAATGTGGAGAGTAGAGTTGGAGATAGGGAAAATTCCAATTTGAAGTCAAAGTGGGGCCAGTTTTTCTCAAATGGGGTCCCAAGTGGACTTAATCTTGAAATTAAGTACCCAAAGTCCCCAAAAAGTATCAAATAAGGAGTGCAGGTCGCTGCCGGCCAAAATACCCACCGCCGGCGATCCACTATTGATTCGTGAGCAGACAGTGTTTTATATTTTTTCCTTTTTCTGTTTTTTTCTTTTCCTTTTCCTCTTTTTTTCTCCTTTACCTCCGCCGGCCATTGCCGAGGCCGGCGGAGTCGCCGGCCGGCTCGGGCGGAGGCGACCCTAGCCCGGCGGGCGACCCGAGGCGGGCGAGGGTCGCCCTCGCTAGGCTAGGCGGGCGAGGGCGACCCTCGCCGCATCCGGCGAGAGCATCCCTCGCCGGACTGGGCGCGAGGTCGCCCGCTCGCCCGCCCAAAGCGAGGCGGCCTCGCCCGACGCGGCGAGGGCGACCTAGGTCGGGCGTAGTGGTCGCCTTGCCCGGGCCGGACTGCGAGGGCGACCCTCGCCCGCCCGGCCCTGGGTGCAGGGCGCCGCCCGACGCCGGCGAAGGCGACCTGCAGAGCCGAGGGCCGCCTCGCCCGCCCCCCCGGGTCGCCACATGGCCGCAATGGCCGGCGGAGTGGAAAGGAGAAAAAAAAAAGAGGAAAAGGAAAAGAAAAAATAGCAAAAGGAAAAAAAAAAATATAAAAATACTCGCTCTTTCACGGAACATCATGGATCGCCTACCAGTATTTCATGGCCGGCTACACCCGCACCCTTATTTGACACTTTTTGGGACTTGGGTACCAATTTGGATTAACCACTGTTCACGGACCCCATTTTTGTAAAACGCCCCACTTTCGATCCCAACTGAATTTTCCTTGAGATATGTTGTGCAATAAATCCCTTTTATAGTCCCTCTTCAAAAACCCCTAAAACAAATGTGCATGGTCCAAAATGCCCTTGTCACCAATTTGAAAGTCAAAACTCAATAAATATCCACTTTGACTTTAAATCTCCAGAAGAGAATTATGCCAAATGCCACAAGACCTCTTGCTCTCACCACCAAGAGTGACCATACAAGGCTACCCCTCACAATGGCAGAATCGACAAGACACACTTCTAAGCTTACGTGAGCGTACTTTGTGTAGGAAACAAGGGATTAAATGCCACCACCTCCGCCTAAGCAACTGAAATGATAAAACGCCTAATCAAGTTCGAGCAATGCTCGTACTTGGTTAAAGGAACTAGTTTAGTCAACATATTTTCCAAATTATCTGCCGTAGATACTTTATTCACCATAACCGTACCCTTAGCAACCTCTTCACACACAAAGTGATACCGGATGTCGATATGTTTTGTTCTCTTGTGATACATTACATTCTTGGTCAATTGGATTGCACTTTGGTTATCACAAAAGATAACAGATGCTCCCTCTTGCTTCATCCCAAGTTCTGTAACCACATGTTTCAACCAAAGAGCTTCCTTTGCCTCTTTCATCGTTGCCATGTACTCTGCTTCGGTGGTAGACAAAACAATTGTGTCCTGCAAGATTGCTCTCCAACTAACAGCAAAACCACTAAGAATAAAACATAACAAGTTAAAGATCTCCTTTTTATCGAGATCACTTGCAAAGCCAAAATCAACAAAGCAAACAACCGAATATATCCTGTAAAAAACCCACATCTAAGGTACTCCGGATGTACCAAAAAATCCATTTCATGGCTTTCTAGTGAGAATTACCCTGATGTGCCATATACCTGCTCACAACACTAACTGCCGAGGAAATGTTTGGATAAGTGCAAACCATAACATACATAAGATTACCTACAACACTATAATATAAAACTCGAGACATCTTGTGACGCCCCGACCTCGGGGTTATAAACGTGACGTCCCGTTCATTATTATCTTTCTTTACTCACAAGCGGAAGCATACCCGGGACAATCACATTTAAAACAAACAGCGGGATTCGGACAAATAGCATCATGAGCAAACCTTGTATTCATAGGACACGCAAATATATTTTACAGGCCAACTTAGCCAATTTTTGCCATTTATACAACAATAACAAGTGGCTTGGGTGTCCTAAGACCACTACTTTGGATTCACAGCTCCTAGCTTTCCCCGAACTCCAACATGGCTCAAACTCCCCCTGTCGCCGCTGTCCGTTCGACCATCCTATGGACCTGAGAGGGAAAAATGGGGGATGAATCGGGAGACTCCAGCAAGTGAAAACACTAATATCAAGCGAGGATATATCGATCGCCGTTAACATAAGTCGGCCCTTACCGCACCCGCATCGACGGCAGAACAATAGCAAAGTTCAAACAAGAGAACATCACGCATGGCCACATCGTGTACACTTTACAAACCAAGGCTCGGTTCTATCTCAAAACAACATCAAACATGAAACATGATCAAATCGAGAAATGAACCAACTACGACCAACCAAACGACCGAGAAACGGTCCAAGCAAACCACGTCACAACGCATCTCAACATCCTTTCGCGATATTAGGGAATTCACTTACTCAACAATTAAACAAGAACTAGAGAAAACGAGGCGTGTGAAGGACATGTGAGTCTCGGCAATTCTCGGGCGATTCTTGGTGGTTCTCGGGCTTAAACACGAACACTCGGGCCTTGCATAAGGCTTCCTCACTCGATCAAACCACAAGAGAGAGACACGGGCTAGTTCGGTAAGCTTTTTCTCTCTTTCTTTCTTTTTCTCTCTTTCTCGGTCATGAATACAAAGCAAGAAATAAGAAAGAAGGTTGGCCGGAGCTCTCGGGCGTGGAAATGGCGTGAGATTCTCCCTCTCTCTCTCTCTCCCTCACGGCTACTCTTTCTCTCTTTTTTTCTCTCTCCCTCTCTCTCTCTCTCTTGGCCGAATGGCCTTCTTTCTATTTATAGAGAGACAAAACTTGGGGCCAAAGCTTGGATGAGGTCATGGCATATGTCATGTGAAGCATGAGGTCATGGCTTAGGTCATTTGGGGCATGAGGTCATTGCTTACCTCACATGGCCATTAAGAACATAAGCCAAAAGTCATGATGAAGGTGATAAGCTTGGACCAATAAATGTGACTTCCACAAGAAGATTTAACCCTTGACTTGGTTAATTTCGTTTTCCCCTGGGTCGACCTCCAATAATAGCATAAAATATCTCATTTGAAATCTCGGAACGTGTATTTTAAATCACCAGAAGATATCAAGTCCAAATTCCAACGTTCTCGTATAGAAAATGCCGAATCTTTGAAATCTGACAAAACCGGACAGCTTTGCACTGTTCACGAAATCGGACTTGAAAATATAGTAAATGGACTCAGAAAATTCTCAAATTTTAATATGTTATAAAAAAGGCATTAACAAACATTTTTTATTAGAACACTAAATCTGAATCTTTCTTTAAACACCATTTTTAGTAGCTCAAAGACAGACTAAAAAAAGTTCACTGGAACAGCATTTTTGTTGCTCAAAGTAAACTCTGTCCAGAATCCAAATCATCTCATAAAATTCCCAAATTTATACACGTTATAGAAAAGGAAGTTCTCAACAACTTTCATGAAGGAAACTTTTCCAAAATCGTCCCAGAAAAGCTTGTAGAAAATAAAGACGGTGTGAATATCACCGAAATACCCATTCTGGGCAGTTTCACACGGTCCGAAAATCAGTCCATCGTACCACTCATATCAACTCCAAAAATTCTGAAATTAAAGTATGTAAAACTTCTAGATGTTTGGAACAACTTTCAAGAAGGAAGTATTCTGAAATTCGGATCACAAAAGTCTCCCCAAAAATAACAAAACAAAGGGGTACAAAGGATCCGAAACTGGGTTTTCCAAAACAAGAGTAAAAATTTTGTTCTGATTGGAAAACCATCAAACTTAAACCATAGCCATTTCCCAGGGACTGAAATTGAGGATATTACAATTTACCTGCGGCTTCCCAGGCCCAAAATCGGGATGTGACACATCTCATCTTCCTCTTCTTTGGTTTTTGGCTACAAAGAAGCCGAAAACCAAAAATGGAATGTCAAAGGAGTATTATAGGATTTGGCATTCTTCATTCCAAAACACTCCAACACTTTCTCAATATACCTCTTCTGCGAAAGATATAACTTCCCAAACTGTCTGTCTTTACGAATCTCCATACCTAGAATCTTCCTGGCACCTCTAAGATCATTACATCTCGAACTCCTTGCTAAGTTGTATCTTCAACCATTATATCTAACATGTTCTTCGCTGCAAGAAGCAACAACAATAAAGTATCACATAATCTCTTATAGTACACACAGTTATCATGCGCACTCCGCAAGTGGCCATGACTCAACATAAATCTATCAAACCTCTTGTACCATTGCCGTGTAGATTGTTTGAGACCAGACAAAGAGTGTTTGAACCTGCAAATGTGATATGTTTTACCCTTAATAGCGAATCCATCTGGTTGAAACATAGAGATTGTCTCCTTGGGCTCGCCATACAGAAATGGGGCATTGACATCAAGTTGCTCAAGTTCTAGATCATAAAAGGGCAACTAACGTGAGCAACACGCGAATGGAATTATGTTACACAACTGGAGAGAACGTTTCATTGGAGTTGATCCCCTCCTTCTAACTAAAACCCTTCGCTACCAAACGTGCTTTGAGTCTTCATCTTCAAACCCTGGGATTCCCTCCTTTCTTTTGAAGACCCACTTGCATCCAACAGCTCTTTTACCCTTAGGCAATTTGACAAGATCCCAAGTTTGGTTCTTATGAAGAGACTACATCTCTTCATTCATCGCAACAAGCCACTTCTCAGATTTAGAACAAATAGTAGCTTCATAGAATGTAAAGGTTCTTCAATACCAACATCTTTAGCAATTATAAGAACATATGCTACCCAATCAGCGAAGCCATATCTCTGGGGAGGCTTAATTTGCCGTTTAGCCCGCAGCCAAGGTACAAGGTTGCTCATCTTCTTGTACATCATCCTTGATCAAATTTGAGTCTTGTTGCTCAGTAACTTTCTGGCTAAAGAGAGACATCTTCAAATGTTCTCCATTGATGCTTCACATGAAACTATTAATGTTTTTGCAATTCAACCTCTCTCATTCTACATGACTAGTCGTGTCTATTCTATCCTGCATTCCTGCATTATTTTCACATGATACTCTCCTAATATTCTGGGCTAGGTTCTCCATGTTATTCACAAAGATGGATGTCAACCCAAATTATAGAGACTAACACTTGTTGGATTACTCCTAGAACTTCGAAAATTGCCCCAAATGGACCAAATTAGAAAAATCCCACCTCTCTTTCAATTAAAATGTTGACTAAGAGCACAAAAATGTGATGCACAATTTGGCATTTTTTAGCAGCATCAACAGATTTCATTTCTTAAGCTCGCATCACAAGCAAGGTAAACAGCCCACAAAAGATTTTATCAAACTGAATGAGAATGAACAAACAGAAGAAAAATAAACTTACTTTGCTAGGGATTAAGGTTCCAGGAGCAGGAGGAGAGAGGGGTAGGGCATGAATGTCCAACACCATACCACCGATTATCACAGCTTCTCTACCATCTTTAAGGCTTAATTGCTCTGCTCTCAGTATAGTCTTCATCATCAACACCAGAAACAAAAAAATTCACGATATTACTGAGCACCAATTACATTGACCATTTTCTGTCCATGAAACAAAACCATACACGCGCAGAGAGAGAGAGAGAGAGAGAGAGAGAGAGAGAGAGAGAGAGAGAGAGAGAGAGAGATACTAACCGGGTGAAAAAGGGAGATCGCATCATAAGCTTGTGGTGAAAGATGATGATATAGAGACTGAATCGTCCTCTGAGCTATGCTTTCCACAGCCATCCCTCCGTTGCTTTGTTGCTTAGAACTCAGTACTCACTGTCTCTGGCTTGTTTTACGTGAAGAAAAACAGGTAGAGACAGAGACAGAGAGTGTGGGGGTGACCTTTGACATTAAAAATGTGGCAATTTTATTATTAATAACTAATAGCTTACATGTAGGTAGTGGGATTCAATAGGTGAACTCTAGTTCCTATATTGAAAATCCTCCAACGTCCTAACCAACAGTGGTTATCCTCTTTTACGAAGCTAATTGCTCGGACATGAAAGTCGAGAGAGAATGATCAAGGAGGGCTAGTTTCTTTCCGCCTCCATATTCTCTATAAAACATAAATGGCGCAGCCCATTTTCGTAACTCTTGTTGAGATTAATTGGTCTATTGAAAAAATGGAGCTAATTTTCTTTTTGAGCCTTCGTTAATTCACATTTAGATGACGCTGCTTTCTTTATTGCTCACATATGATCCCAGCCATTTCACATTGATTTCATCTATCACTTCATCCAAGTTTACTAGGATGATATTAATTACACGTAGTAGTCTATCATGAGAACAATCAAATAGCAACAAAAGGGGGGAAAAATCTCCTTGACCCAACATAAAGAAAAAGATTATTCTGTGTGGCAACATTGAAGTTGCTGCCTGGACATATGGCATTGAACATCATCCTTTTAATCACTCAAACGTATAATTAACTTTTCAAAAGAATATAGTTTCCCATGATGATTTTGCTCGTGTGTTTTTCCATTTTTACATTATTTTACTCTCTCTCTCTCCCTTAATCGAATCATTTTTTCTCCATGTGAAATGTCTAGCACTTGTCCCTTTTTATCAACCGCTCACTTCATGGTCTAGAATTCAGTGTCTTTAGTGGGCAGAGCACCACCACACCAGACGATCCACCATCGCGCGCAACCACACGCATCATCATCACCCTATCAATCCGCCGCCACTGCTCGACGGAGTTCACATCTCGCCATAAATGCCCCTGCTGGACGAGCTACAGAGTCTCATCACTAACTTGAACCCCTAAAGCAAAAACCACAGGTACTGGCAACAAGAGAGAAAGAGGAAAGCAACTAAAACTAAGGAAAAAGCATGTTCTTTCACAAACATAATTTTTTCCTTTTGATAAGATATGACATGCTAAGTTCTAATTTCGGGAAAATACAAGATGCACAGCATAATTACCTAGAAGATGTAAGAAGTAATCTCTCTAGGAAAAATAAAAGGAGGTATAATACAAGTCAACATATTCTATGTCTAACACAAAAGGAAAATCGGTTGTCAAGGTTTTATACTGGCAAGCATCCAACAACTAAAGGGGTAATCCGCATTATATCTAGGCTTTTTATCATGTGATAACTACGGAAGTATCAATATGTCTGCCTGATCAAGTAATCTGCATTACAAATCTCTGTACAAATGTAACACGGAACAGCTTGGGTGTCGACAGCTTATCTCTAAACCTATGAGCATAGAAAATGCTGATCTGGCATAAGCATTCTCGGTAACTGCATGAGCATTCTCGGTAACTATGCCCAATATTTAGCTTCCTTCGCACGCAATCTATATAGTTGGGATCATGTTTATCCTTGAATATGAAAATCTATAAAACTCACATGAAAGGGTGCATCATCTCCACAACATTCAACAAACTATCTTGCCCTCTCCCTTTCTCTCTTTTCCATCTTCTGTCCCCGTGGCAGTCAATCACAAGAAGCAGCTCAGCTAGGTAAGGAAAACTCCAACTTATATTCAATGGTGCAAAAAGAGTTAGCAATCTTGCTTGTTGGATTGTATTCCTGTTATGATTTTAGATCTTGTAGAGATTGTGGTACCTTAACTTTCTGTTGATTATCATGCAGGCTAGGTATATGAGAAGGCCCTCATGAATTTTCAAAAATTCATGACCACACTTGATTATAACTCATAGAACTCCCTTGTTGTGCTTGAAAAAGTGTGTATTAGCCCATTTCGATAGGATGACTGTCGGAGACCCTAGAAATGATTTCTTTTGGGGCATCTTCATGATCTAAGCACTAGAAAATCACCTAATACATAGGCAAGAGGCGGACCCTTATGCTCGGCTGCTGTTTGTTATGTGCTACCCTACGATTATGAACATTCATATTAAACATCATATAGATTTCATTCGATTCATTTTTCCATCTGAGATTACATTTAGCTGGCTTGGTTATCGGCGTATGGTGGTCAGTGGATGCGCATATCAGTTCGCGAAGTGAGAATTGAATTGTTCTTAGGGTTGGATGAACATTCCAAATGGTAATTTTGTGAGAAATGGCTATCTTCTTAATTACATGATGATAATAACTTTTGGGATTTTTTTGTATGACATTTTCCTCAATTATGAAGATTAGTTTCACCTCGTTTTAGCAACGTGCCTTGCGTGAAAGTTCCCACCTTTTTGTTAAAGTGCTATCGAATCCAAAAAATTGGATAGGAAAATATATTTTTCCATATTTATAATAGAAAAAAGAAAAGGTGTACTAAATCTCTTAAGTCGTCTTATTTTTTTTTATTGTCTGGATTTCTCAATCGATGAACTCTTTTTTTCCATTGAACTTCGAAAAATTCGTTATGATTTTTCTCTATTTCTCAAAAAGATCAAGATAAAACTTTTAATTTTTTCGTGGACCCTTTTTTTATTACCGCTAAGTAATTGCTCCTAAACAAAAAAAAATGTGAATTTCGCGTCGTTTTAGCTACTTAAGTATAGGACGTGGACTTTGTTAATCTTATTACTCAAGTCATTTAGTGAAAGTATGTTCTTTTTTCTTATTGAACCAATGGAGCAAGCCCAGAATCAAATCATACTCGTATGACATTTTCTTGCATAAAATGTGTCTCTTATCCATGTGAGAAGGGAGTGAATCTCATCAAAATTATCTAATTCTTGTCCTCAACAGCACATGTGACACGTAAACTATGCATTGTGATAATGCATTATTGGTTATGTTCATCAACATAGATAGTCTTGGTTCTCGAATTAGAGTTTAATGTTCTGGTTTTGAGTCTTTATATGATTGCCTGTTATGGGCCTGTACTGGTTATTGCTGTTGTAATAGTTTAACTTTTGGGACATGCGACCACCGTCTTCTGACAAAGTTCGGAATTCCTTCCCATGCTCTTCCTTTCAATTTCCTTTTTGCATGCTCTGAAATTTCTAAGGGACATAAACTTCTGTGACTGCTTCATTTTTTCCTTTTCTTAAACCTCACGATCTCACCTGAAGGTCAATGGCAAACTCCAACACCAGAAGAAACCCTCCAGCGGTTCCCTCATCAACAAACGCTAATTCAATACCCAAAGTCCCGTACCCAAAGGAACTCATCAGCTCGTACCGAATAGCGTGCGAGTCTGACCCGGATTTGCGAACCTTCGATGCAAACCTCCAAGCACGGACGAACCAAGTCCTCAGCACTCTTGCTTCCGGGGTTGATGTCCGAGCTCTCTTACTGGATTCTCTGAAAGAGATAACCGAGTGCCTCTTGGAGATGAACCAGGAAGTTGTCGAAGTCATCTTGGATAGCAAGAAAGACATCTGGAGAAATCAAGAGCTGTTCGAGCTTGTTGAGGACTACTTCAAAGATAGCTTGCGCACCCTCGATTTCTGTGCTGCCCTTGAGAATTGCTTGAAGCATGCGCGCGATGCCCATTTGCCAATTATCGCTGCACTTCATTGCTTCGAAGAAGGAGATGGGGAGGGGCGTTACAGGTACATGTATCTCAGTTCTCAAGGAACTTCATTTCGAGCACACGTATCCTAGTATATTGGTTCTTGCTAGCCACTATTTTCAATTATTGGCTAAGTCATTCAATCTCCCCTATTTTCTCTATGCATTTGCATTCAACTTCATATCCTAACATGCCAATGATATCGAGTTGATTTCTAAAATTTGATATCCTAACATTATAAGGTTAAGTTGGTGAGGAATATGCATGCTTTTTCTGTTTCACATGAAACTGATGCAGATACCTTGGATAAATTTAGTTACTCGATGATCTTGGAGGAACTGACAAAATTCAAGGAGACCAGAGACCCTTTCCCCAAGGAGTTCTACGAGATCTTTCCGACGATTTACAAGCAAAAAGAGGTCCATGCTCAAGAAGTTGCGAATCAAGAAGAATAAGATTGAGAAGAAGCTCAAGAGCATACAGATGTGGAAGAAAATCTCAAGCATGATACTGGTTGCAACTTTCGCAGCCATTCTGATCTTTTCGGTCATGACTGCTGCGGTGGCTGCTCCGCCAGTCGTTGCTGCCCTAGTGGCTGCAACCGCCATCCCCATGGATGCGATTGGCAAGTGGATTGACTCCCTTTGGAAGAATTATGAAAATGCATTGAAAGGTCAGGAGGAGGTGATCACCTCAATGCAAGTGAGTACTACAAACCTTTTTCGTCCCTTTTTGTAATTACAGTGATCATCCCCGTAATTTAGTCAAACCAAGTCAGCATCCATAGTTTTCCCTAGAAATTCTGGCAATTAACATAATGAACATCGTGAGGCTGGCTTGATTTTTAAGTAGCTTCAATGATGCGAACAATGTCTAGGAGTCCAAAATGCAAGAAACTCTGTAAGAGAAGTCACCATGATTTACATGAATAATTTCTTGCAACTGAAAGCTCTACAGGACGGTTCCTTTCGTGCTCTCAAGGACCTGGACAAAATCAGAAGTATGATTTGTGACATCCTGAAAAAAATTAGTCCATTTGGGATTTATGAAATACTGAATTTTATGAATGTACTCGTAGTCAGTTCTCGCCCGGAACTGATCATTCCTGGGAATGCTAACCATTAGGGAAAGGCTAATAGGGGAAATTAAATTCACGCGACTAAAGGAAATTCGATCGTGAATGGATTTCGACCATTAAATCGTGGAAGTGATATTTTGAGCTGCATTGGCCGATCCAAGGATAGTTAGGGTCAGTTCGCCACTGCCCTAGTAGTGGATCGCGGGTGATTCCGTTGGACCACGAAACG